GGGATGGCGTAAAAATGTTTTGTTTAAAAAATATATATATTTAACCAAAAAAAAAAATTTGTGGGGGGAGAGGGTAGGGGTCATAGGTGTTGGGTGAGGTAAAAAAAATCTTAAAATTTGAATGTTTTTAAAAAATAAATTTTTATATTTTTTTTGTTTGGGGGAGGGGGCTGGTTTAGGGGTAGGGGTAAACAAATATTTGAAATTTCAAAAATAATAAAATTTCAAAAAATTATTATTTTTTTGGATGGGAAGGGATAGGTACGGGATAGGGTAAGAAAAAAATATATTGAAGGATGAAATAGAGTTTTGGAAAATGTTTTCCTTGATTTTTGAAGGGAAGTCATTTTCTTAAATTTGAGTAAAATGAATTAATTTGAAAAACATTTTCCAAAATATTTAATCAAACCAAAATGAATGTTTTCCTTCATACTAAACACACCTTAAATTATAACAAAATTTAATCACATTTTAAAATAAACAATTTGTATCATTATATTAAGTTACCACACGTCTTATATGTTATACTCCCTCTCCCTAATTACTTGTCCATTTTTAAATTGACACACCTATTAAGAAAATAACAATTGACATCGTGATTTTATCATTTTATCTCTATTAATTATGAAGTGGATGAATTAAAAACTTAAGGTTTTCAAGAAGTTCTACCTTTTTCAAAGTAATTAATTGAGGGTATAATAGATTAAAAAAATTGTCCTTTCTTGATTTGTCAAAATGGACAAGTAATTAAGGACAACTAAAAAGGAAAAAGTGGACAAGTAATTAAGCTTAGAGGCAGTATATATTTGCACCTTTTTTCGTAGTGTTATGTACACGTGCCAGTACTGTGAGAAATAAAACAAGGAAGGAGGAATTTAGAGAAATTTAGTACCCGTTTGGCCCAAAGAAACATGGGAAAACTTAGGAAAAAATTTGGGAGTGGTGTTTGGTCATATAACTTGGCAAATATATTTGTCAAGTATCTCAAGTTCTCAAATAGTAGAAACAATTAGTATTTGGGCCAAGTTCTAATATTTGGGAATTTAAAATTTTAAAAATTATCCTAAACTTTTATATTTTATAAAAAATACTCATCATTTATTAATTTCAACTAATATTGTTAGTACCTCCTCCAGAAAAATTTGAGTTATAATTTGAGTGATAAGATTGTGAAAAAAGAACAATTTGTATTTAATGGGTTATGATTATAATTAAATCAGTGACAAATTTGAATATGCGATTAATGTATTGGCTTGCCGATATTGTTATTTTGTTGTTGTTGATTGTTATCAATTATGAGGTTATTTCTGAATAGAGGATATTCATTATAAATGATAATATAAATTTATGGGTATTTTAAATAATTTTTAGAATTTATCGGTATAAATCATATTTTTAAAATATTCAAATATTTTTGGAAAAAATTGAGGCCAAATACATGGTGAAACTTCACCCAAATATAATTTGTCAAGAATATTTGAGAAATTGAGGCCAAACGCTAGCTTAATTTACTTATTTCCTTGGGGGTCACTAGATTTACAAGGATAAAGAATAATAATTTCAAAAACAGATTTTTTTATAAAATAAAAATAAAAATTGACGGTGGGTGGCTTGGGTGGGGGTTGGCCGGGGGAGGAGGGATCGGGGATAGGGATGGGGGTGGCGTAAAAACTGAAAAAAAATTAAATTTGAAATATTTTCAAAAATAACTTTTTTTAAAAAAAAAAATTGACCGGGGGATAGGGGGGTACGGTTGGGGTGACGTAAAAACTGAAAAAAAAATTAAATTTGAAATATTTTTCAAAAAAAAATTAAAAAAAATTGACAGAGGAGGGTGACCTAGGTGGGGGAGTGGGGGCAGGGATTGCATAAAAAATGTTTTTTTTTTTAAAAAAAATTGAAATATTTAACCTTTTTTTTTGTGGGAGAGAGGGTAGGGGTCGTAGGTGTTAGGTGAGGTAAAAAAAAATCTTAAAATTTGAATGTTTTTAAAAAATATTTTCTTATTATTATTTTTGTTTGGTGGAGGGGGACTGGCTTAGGGGTAGGGGTAAAAAAATATTTGAAATTTAAAAAATAATAAAATTTCAAAAAATTATTATGTTTTTTTATGGGAAGGGTCAGGTACGGGATAGGGTAAGAAAAAATGATATTTAAGGATGAAATAGAATTTTGAAAAATATTTTTCTTAATTTTTGAAGGAAAGTCATTTTCCTCAAATTAGAGGAAAATAAATTGATTTGAAAAAACATTTTCCAAAAAATTTAAATCAACCAAACAAGAGAAAATTAAAAAACGTTTAAAAAAAATATTTTTCTGCATCTCAAATTAATTGTCATGTTTCATTTTATAAGAATTAATTTAATTAATTTTAAAATTAAATTAGATCAGTTCAACTTAATATTTTGTAGGTATATTCATAATTTATGCCAAAAGTACTATAAAGTGAAACATTGTCATGTCAAAAATTAAAAATTATATTTTCAAATGTAGATAAAAGAGATCAACCAGGAGATTCAAACATAAAAAGAAAGGAGAGGCTAAATAATCTGTTGACGTCAATTTTAATTATCGTAATAGATACATAATGTATTACTCTCTCTATTTCAATTTATGTGACATATTTCATTTTTCAAGAATCAAACAATTTAAATTTGATCGAAATTTTGCTCATAAAATATTCAATTTTTTAAAAATGAAATTTATATATTTGTAAACTACGTAAAAAGTACAATAATTGATAATTCAAAATATTAAAAAATA